AATAACCTGGTCAGTATCTCGATCCTCTGTGTTATCAGTCATGTAGTATTGGAATTGATCCAGGGTGCGTCTTAGATGCAAGGGAGGCTGTGGAGGCTCTGGGAAAAGATGCTCCGCGAATAGAGACTTGTTAGGATTGGCAGAAGGTTTGCTCCTGTTATTATAAGTTTTCTTTACCGTTTCCTCAATGACACGGCTCAATCCGGCCATGTCATGTCTTTTGCTAGAAATGATATCTGCGATCGCGGTGTTCATTTCCTGGCGTTTGCCTTCGGACTCCCAATGCAGGTATGGCATCTATTCAGCGATTTACATTAATGGGGATGCTCAAAGGGGAGAAGATATTGAAGTTAATAGGTTCAAGTTGGGTTTACGTACGAAAGCGACAAAGCTTCCTGAACTCACTGGGACTAGATTAATAAGGGGTCAGAGAGCCCGACGAACTTCACCGAAGCTGCAGAGAGTGACTCACGGTCAGGAATCTCTCTACAGAGAGGTTTCATACAGCGACCGTGAACAGATGAATGGATGGGTTCATGCAACTGACGCATCCACAGCTCGTCTCTTAGCAGGTCAGGCCGAGGCTGGTCACCAGCCCAATCATCCTTTAGGCTTGCCATGAGAGCCTCAATACCGACGTTAGCAAAGACCTCGCATCAAACTTGAGTAGTCTCACCTCCACCCATTCCATCTAAGAGGCAATTAGCAATTTTGCTCCCGCAGTCACTAATTGTTTTGTGAGACTTACACAATTGGCAGGGAGATGTATCCATCTGAAAGCTGCTTGTGGATATGTTTCGATTCCTACTTGGTCTGCGAGAACTTCATCGAGCAGGCCGTCGATATTCCAAACAAGTCGTTCTACCGGCACGGTTTGGACGCGATGACCATCATTGGGAGTGTTTCGATGAATCCCGGAGTCTCCAGCAGCGTAATCGACGTAGAAATGAACGACTGTTGCGTCGAAGCCCGTGGCATTTGCCCAAGACCGGAGGCGGGTGTCCCTAAGGCTTGATTTTGGGATCGCGGCAGCACTTGAACTCGTCAATATGGCCCCGTTGTGACTCATGAAGAGCCTCACAACAGCCTCATGCCCTGCTTTCATGGCCATGTCCATTGCGATATTGCCGCTCGCGTCCACTGTTTGCGTATCGGCACCAACATCCAGTAGGAGGCTTGCAACACTATCATGCCCCAACTCAGCCGCGTCGTGCAGCGCTGTACTTGCAGTTTTGTCAGAAATATTGATGTCAACGTCAAAGTCAAGCAGCATCTGCACAACAGGTGCGCTGCCCGACAGCACCGCTCTGCGAAAACACCTCTGCATGTCGGGCTTCATTTCGCCGTTCCAGTCGTTAATCTTACTGTACTTCTCCCGGAGCATTCGAACGGCAGGTTCATGGCCTGCGGCGCAGGCTTCCTCCAGCAGCACTGCCGGGTTGATGAAACCACTAAACTCAACTAATTGCTCGTCATCAACGCCCAAGTGTTCCGCGAAGTTCTTCACATTCATTCCAGTCCACTTGCTGATGAAATCCCGCGTCCGCTCCAGGGCTCGAAAGGTCTTTCTGCCCCATTCAGGGCCAATGTTGCGAATTAATTGCTTCATTCGCTTCACAGGTAAGTCGTCGATGTCTTCGATCCGGTGTTTCATCCTAAGCGGAGGAATCAAAAGGCTATATTCGTGCCAGTCACAGACAAGATCGTCCTCAGAACCTAGGGGCAAAGCAAGTTAGAGATTGATTTGTTATAATCCGAGATTTAGTTACCTTGGATTTGCAACTCATAGCAAAGCTTCTGCGCTTTTTCGGAGTTTCCAGCTCGAAGATGCAAAGATATGACATGCTTCGCCGCTCGTCTCGTTTTGGGATCATGGTAGCCATAGCGTTCCCGGAAATGTGCCACTGCACTCTCCAAAACCTGTTCGTGCCACCTTTTGTCTTCATCAATGGGAAGTCTGGCTAGATTGCAGAGTGTGTCGAGGGTAGCTTGATGATTATGACCCAGGACGTGTCGCTTCGCATTGTAACTGTCATTGAGTAGGTCCCTTGCTCGACCAAAGTCAGAACGCCGCGCACAGAAGCATGCCAACCTGGTCGAGAGCTCTAGAGTCCAGGGGTACTCGCACCCCATTGTGTGTCGAACACCTTCAATCGCAGCCTCATACAAGGTTTGGGCTTCATCATACTGGCCCAGGCCCTCCAATACTTTGGTCAGGGACTTTTCGCAAGCAACAGTGGCAACATGGTTCCAACCCCATGCCTCGACAATGCGACTCCTGACATCGGACAAGATCTCTTCCGCGAGTATAAGCTCACCAGCGGCGGCTTGCCCAGTTCCAAGCAACAGTTGTAGCCGCAAAACGGCCTTTCCTCTGTTTTCATCATTTTCGTTCGCCTTCACCTTCTCTTGATAGAAGTGGATTTCCTCATCCAGATTGCTGAAATCAGGAAGCCTCCAGGGCCACGTTTCAAAATCAGCATCTAAATAAGTGTTATAGTCTATTTAAAGTCTTTGAGAAAGCAATAGTTACCATCGCCACCATAACTGTCGCGATTTTCAAAGCTACTTTCGTAATCCGAGACAGTATCTTGGGCAGAATCGCTGTCTACTCGGCCGGTCAAAGGTCCAGGGCCGGCGTCGTCGGGTCTTCTGAGCTCGGGAGTGGCTTCAGGCGACCCCGGGGACCGCTTCTTTCTTGATCCGTGCAACGCCGCGAGAGTCGCTAGGTATGAGAAAATGTCAAATATTGAGGGCATTGTGGAAACGGAAAGATCTAATCTGGTCTGAATGTCACTTTGGTGAGAGCTAAGTTGGCATGGGGGCAGGTATGGAGCTAATCGACGCATACCCAAGGCAGGATGGCTGATCTCACAACATGAAGGCTGGCACCAGTCGCCCTTTTAAAGAGCGCAGTCAGCTGTTGTGTGACCCAATGTCTGACACGGGTATATGTCATTTCTTACGTGCTGATTATATCACAGTTAACGCTTGTATTCTCAAATCGATGTGACCTAATCGCGGCAACAAAGTCTTTGAGACTACCTAAACAGAATTGACATACGGAATGTAGATGTGATGCACCAGTGTCATCCGCCCTCTACCAACTCCAGTCATCATCCTTGCTGGGTGTGAAAGGCCGGCGTGGGCCGGCATGGAGTTCGGACTTTCTTCGGCCGAGACCCGAGAGTGGGGTCACCGGCCGGGCGTCTAGGTACCTACGGCACAGTGCCACCCACGGATCGCACCGCAGACCGGAGCTGGACCCTTCAATCAACCACGCCACCCCGCTGACACACCACGAACCCATCATCGACAACTTCAATTGAAGCAGCCATGGCGAAGACGAAGTCGAAGAAGAGAAAGCAGATTGCGCAGGCCGATGCGCCGATCAAGTTGGCCAAGACGAGCGCGACGACAACGACACCGCCCCCCACCGACAGCGACGGTGACGCCACCTCCCTCGAGCCCAAGAGCTTGCAGACGGTCATCTCGGACGAGGAGCTCGAGATCGCGGTCGACACTCTCAAGACCCTGGCATCATACCCGAATCTGATCAAGTCGCGAGCATGCAAGGACCTTCGTGTCGCCGTCTACGACTTCCGTCAGGCCTCCGCAAGCGATGCTCGTACGTTTTCGCCACCTGCCATCTCATTCATATCAATTGGAACAAGGACTGACATATCGACCCTGCAGCTGGATCGAACCTCGGCCTCGTCGCACGCATCACATCCGCCCTGACCGATGAACGATATACAGAAGCGAGGATTCTTCTCGCCGAAATGAAGATCCGCGAGCAAGAGCCGAAGCTCGGCGCCCTTTGTCGCTGGGTGCGAGACCTGGATGTCATCAGCGGCTTGTCGACGATACCCGGCGGAGACGGCTCCGACATCAAGCGCAGCGAACAGGACGAACAGCGCCTCCGAGTAATCGATGCCATCCTGCGCGTCACTGGCCCCGTCGACGCCAACCCTAATGCTCTGCCCATTCCATCAACACCGGGCATCGCCCTCCAAGAGATCTGGGACCTCCGTCCCTCTACGCCCTCAGAAGAAGTATACGCGTCCGTGCTGGACAAGACGATTTTCAATTCGGCACCGATGTCACTCGCTACCGGTCTCCGTATGATCGAGAGAACACCTGGATCCGACAGAAAGCCCCCCAACCATCACGATGCGCTCCTCTACACCAACGCGCCCAACACGATCCCCCTCGCCGCAGACCGCACCGATATATCATACCAACCACACCCCATCGTCCCGAATCTGGGCGTGATCAAAAACGTCCTCTCTCCAGAGGAGTGCAAAGCCATCATCGTCGCCGGCGAGACCGTCAATTTCCTCCCCGATGCCCCTCTCCGCGAAGACGGCGACATCAGCATTCTAGCCCACAACTTCTACTGGGTCGTGGACCCCCTCTTCCACGACACATTGTGGTCCCGCGTCTCAGCACACGTCCCGGCATCCGTCAAAGGTCGTCTAGCACGCGGTCTTAACCGCCGGTTCCGCGTGTACCGCTACGTCCCCGGCGCAGAGTATCGCGCGCATATCGATGGTGCCTGGCCTCCATCCGATGTCCTGCCGGACGACACGTACGTGTACGACGCCTCCCCCGAAGGAAAGAAGCAGAGTTCGCTGTTCACGTTCTTGATCTACTTGAACGATGAGTTCGACGGCGGAGAGACAACGTATTTCCTGCCGGCAGCGAGAGAAGGGACGTTAAACGCGTATCCGATTAAGCCAGTGATGGGAAACGTTGCCTTGTTTCCGCACGGAGATACGAGTGCGTTGCTTCATGAAGGTACGGGAGTGAGAAAGGGGGCAAAGTACGTTATTAGGACGGAAGTGGAGTACGATGTTGAGCCATCGAAAAAGTAAAAGTTTATGATTTATTAATGACAAACCAAATATCCATACTCCTCGACCTGTTTAGTTTGGAAACGTTGAAAGAATCATCTAATCGAGATTTTCATTCTAATTTCAGGTTGTCCTCCGCTGACGTCAAACTTTGGTCGTAGAAGCCTCCGTTTCTCCTTGTCCCAAGTGGGCCGCGCCAACGACCGTCTCGTCGTCATCCACAAAAGCCTTATCACCGAAGGCGATTGCAATCTCTTCGAGCGTGTGATTCGCCGTCTCGACGTAGTAGAACTTGGCCAAAGCCACTGATATCAGACAGAATCCTGCAATGATGACATAGTAATAGCCTCCAATGCCCGCGAATGCGTCAGGGGCCGACATGCCGATAGCGAAGTTGAACACCCAGTTCGAGCAGGTGGCGAGCGCCATGCCCTTACTACGAGCGCGTAGGGGAAAGATTTCAGCGGGAAGCAGCCAGGGCATAGGACCCCAGGTGAAGCCATAAATGGCATTGTACTGAGAGAAACGTTAGCATACATCGTAGTGTTATGCTAAGGGGGTAAACCTACGATGACGACAAAGGCATAGATGCCATTCGCACGAACGTTGATGTCAGGTATGTGTGCCTCGGTGAAAGCGCAGACAATACTGAGAGCGATAGCCATGAGAATACCTAGATAGTCAGCTTTCCATGAGCAGAGCAATATACGGCGAACTATGCTTACCACCAAGGATCAGCAGCGGGCGGCGTCCCCATCTATCGGCCAGCCACCAAGACAAAGTAGTCGCAGCTACGTAGGGGATCGAGTTCGCAGCAGTGTAAAGCAGCGACTTGGACTGACTCATGCCAGCCTTGGCCAGGGTCGTGGGCAGGTAGAACGAGATGACGTTGATTCCGTTCAGCTGAGCAAACATCTGCGCAGTAATGCCGACGATGGTCCGCTTTCTATAACGCGTAAACATCTCCCTCCACGATGACTGTCCGAGAGTCGCCTCGTATCGAACTGCTTCGCTGATCTCGAGCATGACTTGCTGAACATGTTCAGCCTGCGTGTTACCATCCGGCGTATGCAAATCGGCAACAGTCTGTATGCATTCCTGGGTGAAGCCGTTTCTCGCCAACCAGCGAGGCGTTTCTGGGAGAATGAAGGACATGGCAAAGAGAATGAACGCAAGACCCATCTGGATGAAATAGGGACCTTGCCATGACTCGCTCTTGGGCACGTGGTAGAAGCCGTAGTCGACCCACGTCGAGAGCGCGTAACCTCCGATGAGGAATGTGTATTCGACGCCGACCATGAGACCACGGCGATGCGGTGCGGCAATTTCGGTTTGGATGACGGGGACGGTCATTGACAGAAACCCGACGCCGAATCCTTGGATCGTCCGTCCGGCGATGAATGTTGTAAAGTCAGGTGCGAAGGCTTGGATGAAGGCGGACGCGAAGTAGATGAAACCTCCCAGTCGAACACATCGCTTTCTACCAATCATATCACCAATATTTCCTGCCATGAGAGAACCGATGGCGGCGGAGACTTGCAGACATGCGACGAGGATACCTGTGATTGAGGGGTTGATATCGTCGCTTGAGCCATGGGCGCCTCCGTAGTCTGCGAAGAATCTCTTGAGGAACACGGGGTTGACCAAGAGGCCGGCCACGATACCTGAGCTTTTCGTCAGTCAAGAATACTCAGGAACGAATTTGAACCGATGGACGGACCTTGGTCGTAGCCAAACAGGGCGTCTCCAAGAGAACCGAATGCGCAAGTCATCCATAGCAAAGGCTTACCCCTGAAGGGGTAGCGAGCATGGACAGTCTTCGGCTTGATCTTCGCCTCGAGCCATGAGACGTGCGGTGGTGGTAGATCTACAACATTGGAAACAACAGGAGCGGACTCCAGAAGAGTTGGTGCAGGTGGCTTTTCCATTGCTTCGGTGGTGTGACAAGACAACTTCAATTCGCTGTATTAGGACGAACTCCAGAATACCTACCCCGTGGGGAGAATCTGGGGTTATTTAAAGCATCGACTTTAGAACTCATTCATGAACCTTTTACCTGGAGCCGTCGGAACCGGTAGATGTCTGCAAATCGCGGGGTATGGTCACAGCAGCTTCGTCAACTTGGCACCATTTTCTACCACCCCCACGATTGCGCCAACATAGAAAAAGAGCAACCACAGCCTAATCCCTGTTTTTCCCCGGGCCTGAAATTGTGCTAAAGAATCAGATGACAACATGCCCCTGCGGAGTGAACCGGTTCACAGGCTGAACAGGGGATGGGCGAAGACTTAACATCCGTCGGAACCGTAGATGAGCGTCAGTGCAGTGATTGGCCCGGATCCGTATGCCCACAACATGGGTACCAAGACTTCAAAGCTCGCGAAGAATTTTCCTTTCTCTTCAGTCGTATCCGGTTTACAGAAAACCCAGTTGCCGTAGCTTCAGTGAGTAAAGCCCCGGTGCCGGTGCGGAGTACTGAGATTAGATGGCGCCATCGGCATACGTCGGAGGCCGAGGTCAGCCAAAATTTCAACTGTGTTTTATGCAGCCAGGTGAAGGGTATTACGAAAGTAGAGAATCGAGAGAAGATCCGCGCTCTTTTATTAGGTCTCGGCCTCACCTTGAAAGCGCACGACGTTTTCTGGATTGAAGAATAATCATCAGGAGAAGACTCTGGCCCTGGAGGCTCTGTCCCTCGCTACTCTGAATCTAGCCAAAATGAGTTCACTGGCCAAAATCAATTCAATTTGGGGTCTCTGGGACATCACGGAACTTGGCCGCTCCACGTAGAGTCCCAAAGCCAGAAGAGACCGTTCGCCCCATAATCTACAGCATGCTGCCCTGGCGATTCGGTCGGACCCTGATACGCAGACCCAGCTGCATAACTAATGTGTTGCGATTGACCTCCTAGCAATGCACCATCACCCCTTGACTCCGACGCAAGACCAGGCTCCAAGTACTCAGTTTGGAACGGTGGGATAACTAGCGCAAGTCAGCGTGTAAATATGAGCTTCGTAGAGGAGGTGAAGACGTACTCTGCTGAACCGAAGCCAGACTTTCGTTCAGGCGCTGTGCAAAGCTTGGATTAGACCCATGCCCTTGGTCTGGCCCGTGAACCAAAATATTAATCACGGACTCAGACTGGGTGTGAGACTCCCGCTCCGACATTGAAGACCTGGGGCCAAGGTCAAGAAGAGGGCGCGGTGCCGCCACTGTGTCGGTGACGGTCGAGTTGGAAGCTGCCGTTCCGATCATAGCTTCGCCCTCACGTCGAAGAAGAAGACGGATGAGGTTCTTCAGCACGGCGCTGCTTTGGCTCGACAACGACGACCTCTGACCTAGAAGCTCTTCTAGCCGGAAGACCTTGGTAATTGGCCTTTTTATCCCCTGGGCTTGGTCTGATAGCGGGTCCGAGAGAGCGACCAGAATCAGCACAATCGCTGCGTTGAACATATTCATGGCCACAAATGCTACGAGGTGACTTTCAGTGGCGAGCTGAGTGAGCTGTGGTAGCTCCGTCACGCTGGCAGTTCTGACTGCTGCGTCCCACCATTGTTCTGAGATTGCAGTTGGCTCGATGCCGAGATCCTGATTCTCGCGAGGGGAGTGGACACTGCCTTGGGAGGCTAGGCTATGCGGGCCCCCGTGGCTTGCTGATGGCGAAATCATTTCCGCGACGCTGCTACCATTCGGTCCTGGACTGCTCAAAGAAAGGTGCTCCAATTGCCGAGCCAGGAATGGTCGATGTAGTACGATCAGGAGGTTGTCGAACGTTAGCTGTAAAGACAAAGACTGCAAAAGATGCGCCCGTACACCCCATCCCGTGTTTGATGGGTCGTAGTCCCGCTTCAAGTCGAGGCATAACTCCGGCGGCAAATTGCGGCGCCAGGATGAGAGTCGCTGGATGACGTGAGTGATGAGGGAGCGGTGCTCCGAGTCGAAGTACTGGCATGTTGCGCGTGCCGATAGAGAGCCAAATATTTTCTTCAGCGCTGGTGACGCGATGAGGTATTGCTGTGTCAGCTTTGTCTGATATGGCGAGTAACAAACGCCAGTGACTTGTGCTTGTGTGGCCTCAGAGCCAAAGAATGGCGACTCGCTGAACTTGGCTGGCAGATCGACGTTGTAATCTTCGTCATTTATACTGAGAGGGCGCCCGTATGAGATCGAAGCGAATCTGACCTGTCAGAATTCACCACGGAAGGGGAGAGAAGGATGTTTAAATGCATACCTATCCCATGTGTAGATAGTCCACCACACCCTCTTACGCTCTTCGATGTCATCGAAAGATCCGTCTTTTTGTCCCCGATGTAAACCCAAGGTGTGAGACATCTTGATGGTTGCACCCAGCAGGGCAAAAGACAGGTTTGGTCGACCGTGGTACACGTGATGTGAGCCCAAAAGGATGAGGGTCTGCACCGCTGCCAGGGAACGCTGATCCATGACCTGAACAAGCCGCATTTCCACTATCTTCAGTAAATCATCGCTCCACAGCCTCCAATCTTGGATAATATCGTGTGGACGCTTTTTGGATTGATACCATGCTGCCATACCTAGCACTGTCGACAGCAGAGTCAAGAAAGGTGCTTCAGAGGGATGTGCATAGCCATCTTCAATCGACTGAAGCTGGCGACGGAACTTTGGCTCGTACACGACGAGAGAGAACCAATGGACAGCTTCGAAGTACTCCTCCAATAGCAAATGAATCGTGCCGAGGTCAGGGAAGCGGCCATCGAGAATGGTGGATATCGGGAGACGCTGACAGCCATTCCTTAGGAGAGGAGTCCGGGTACCCGCCCCACCGTCCGGAATGGCTGATGTTTGGTTCTCGTCGATTGTTTGACTACCCAGTCGATAAATCTATTGGGAATGTTTGAGTCAGAAAATTGGAAGAATGGTAACAACGAGAACGCTCCCTTACCTTGCGAGCGATGCCCATTGCAGACTCAGACTCCCCATAATCTAGCGACGGCCAAGAAGCGCTTTGGGTGATCGTTTCTGCAACGTGATCATTCTCGACATTTCTTGCTAGACAGTTTTCCCCCGGAGACAGAGGTTGCTCCGTTGGGAGGCTGGTTGCAGATCGGACATTATGGGTAATCGTAGCTTGAGGTCGTCTTTCGCATGTTAGTCATTTGTGGCCCTCAGAGATTTCGATACATCGCATCCAGTGGTTGGTTGTTTTCTCACTTTCGCAACTTAGATGCGCGACGCTCACTGCGACTTTGAGGTCTCCCTTTTGGGTGTTCGTCCAAAGACGCCTGGTCGCAATCGACGTTGGCTCGTACACATAGCGAGCACGGCCTGAAGGCATCACACTAACACCTATCAGCGATCAAGCACGCTTGTTTGCAAAAGATATCGATAAAACCTACTCTACTCTTGTTCCGACGGCATCTGTTGCATGCGTTAGACACCCGTGTTGGCAGCCGGCGGCTCGCAATGATAGCCGGAGAGCCGTCATCCGAAGCTTGTTGTCTAGATTCCGACATTGCGAAATGATGAGAGTAGCAGCATGAAGAAGACGGAACCGAATGACCGGCTGGTATTACATGACATGGTTTGTGGGTTGGCCTGCATAATCGGTACTGGGCTACTACACAAAGACTAGGAGCGTAATTGAGCGAGCATTAGCCCTGTACAAACGGAACCGAGACCGAGACTGCTGAGCGATCGACATTAGACGCGGTTCCGGCGGCACCCCTCACATCCTTACACTTGCCGCATCAGAGTCCTCTTCTCCAACTTCCTCGGAACCGGCCCACGACAGATTCTGGGTCAAGGGGGAGACTGAGTTGACCAATCATATCATACTCCAAGAGAGGATTCAGTCTTTGGGCATTCACAGCCAACATGCTATGATAAATGTTCAGGTCTCCGCGCAAAGGTTCAAATACTAATCCACAAATGGTCATTCGTCAATCTCCTATCTAATTCCGTTCAATTATCCATGAAGACGAAATAACATCTTCTTACAAACGCACCCGTCCGATCGCCCCCGGCGCCAAGCAGACAATGCCTTCAGAGTGCCCACCCCCCGGCTACAGCCCACGAACGTCGAACCTTTCTTTCGTTCTCAAGAATCCACACGATGTCGAATTCGTCGAGCGACCGATTCCCCAACTCTCGTCACCGATGGACGTGATAGTTGCTGTCAACTACACTGGGATATGCGGCTCCGATGTGCATTACTGGGATCATGGGAGGATCGGCCACTTTGTGGTAGAAGAGCCTATGGTCCTAGGCCACGAATCATCTGGAACTGTGGTCGAAGTTGGTAGTGCGGTGACGGGTCTTCAGCCTGGTGATAAGGTTGCTATCGAGCCTGGCTATCCGTGTCGATGGTGCGCCGAATGTCTAGCAGGTCGTTACAACCTCTGCCGTGACATGGTGTTTGCGGCCACACCTCCACACCATGGCACGCTCACCGGCTTCTGGGCCGCTCCATTCGACTTCTGCTACAGACTGCCCCAGAACGTTACTCTCGAGGAGGGCGCGCTTATTGAGCCTCTGGCAGTAGCGGTTCACATCGTAAAGCAAGCTCTGCCAACGACGTTTCCTGGGGCAAGTATTGTCGTGATGGGAGCAGGCTCGGTGGGCATCCTGTGCGGCGCAGTTGCCAAAGCCTTTGGTGCGACAAAAGTTATTGCCGTCGATGTGATACAGGAAAAGCTAGAATTCGCGAGGGACTTCGGCTTCACACACGTGTACTTGTCCCAACGGATCTCGGCAGAAGACAATGCCAAAGCCCTTCTTGACCAATGCGGTCTTGACGGAGGCGCGGACATTGTCATTGATGCAAGCGGGGCGGAAAGCTCAATTCAGACCAGCCTTCACGTCGTGAAAGCTGGAGGCACTTACGTTCAGGGCGGCATGGGCAAATCTGATATCAACTTTCCCATCATGGCCCTATGCCAAAAGGAGGTGGCTGCCAAGGGTAGTTTTCGGTACGGGCCTGGTGACTACAAACTTGCTGTTGAGCTGGTGGGCAGTGGCGTAGTACAGGTCAAGAAGCTCATTACTAGTGTGGTGGACTTCAAAGATGCCGAAAAGGCATTTCGCAGAGTAAAAGAAGGCAGCATAGGGAAGACTCTTATTGCAGGTCCGAACGAAGTCTCTTTGGCAGTACATAACAAGAACCATACGAGTGTTCTCAAGTAGGGCCAGTGGTACTTAGCTTCGAGGTCATAGACATAGACGCAATCGAATAGAAGAATCAAGTGAATACAGAGTCTTTGAGAGCATGACCCGACGAAATCTGAAGCAATTTGTGGTGTGGGCGTTCCTTTCGTTCGGTGGGTCTGAAGTCAATCAACGAATTGAGCATTCGGCCAAGACAACTCCAGGCACTGCCATAGGCACTTGACATGCATTGCAATCTTTAGCCTTTGATTTTTTGTGATCTCTTCAAAAGGAAATGTAACAAATTGTGAAAAAAAAACACAAATGATCCAAGCATTTCGTACTTACTGGGCAACAGTGGAGACAGCTGCGCTGTGCCGTAGACTTCTATGCATCATCGCGCCAACGAGCAAGAGGGGTCTGCATCGGCCATTTGCCCAGATGTAGATCCTTTCCTCGCTGGGTAATAGAAGGTCACCCCATTCCAGTGTGATGCCAATTCTTTGGTATGCATACTTGAACCAATCAGACATCGTCACGGTGACCTTGCTGCCACGGCGCCCACCACAGCATGGTATGTCTGCTTTGCCCGACTGGAGTGCAGAAGACGCTTTCCTCACATAAGAAGGGCATCACAACCGCTCATATAAGCATGGGTTGTGTCCAAAACCTTGCTGGAAGAAAAGCTACACCAGCATATTTTGGTTTTGACGGTTCTTTTGCAACATCATCGATATGCCGAGAGTCGAAGAGTTTCAGCTCCATCCTAGCGGGTGGGAAAATGACCCAGATGAGGAGCGTTTCAAATTGTCTACGCTGGACTATTTGTCAGCGATGACTTACAACAACTACGCATTGTTCTTCAGACTCAATGATGAACAAAAGAGGTAAGCATTGGTGTATGCTGAAGAAAGGACGTATTGTCGGCTCTAACACTTCAGTAGTCAAGTTGCGGATATACTGAAAAAGGGCCTGGAGCGGACACTCAGCCAGACCCGGCACCTCGTTGGTACCATTGAGAAGGAAGAAGATGGTCACCACTCTATCGTCAAGACAAAATCCAGCACTGTCAAATTGGTCATCCAATATCTCGACTCTCCTCAGGATGGTTTCGGTTCGTTCGACGACATTGAAAAGGCGCACTTCCTGTCAGCTAAAGTCGGAGACATCAACATCTTGAGCAACGCTCCTATGACTTACGGCGAAAAGCCAGAAGCTCATCCAGATAACAGCCCCGTGGTTGCTTCTTACAAGACTAATTTCATACCGGGCGGACTCATTTTCAACATGCACTCCCACCATTACAGTAATGACGTTGTAGGGTGGGCAAACTTTGTGAAACAGTTGGCGGATAACTGTTACGCCATGTTCAACGATACCGAGCTTCCCTCCTTCGACGCCAGCTGTTTGGATCGTAGCCGCTTTATGTCGCCAATGGTGGCAGAAGGTTCTCGCGTAGATGCACCTGTTCAGGCCGATCGCCATCCAGAACACAAGCTCTCTCAATGCTTGATCTTCCATCTACCCAAGAGCAAAGCAGCAGAGCTCAAGAAGGCCGCTTCACCCAGCGACGGCTCTTGGATATCCACGTATGACGCCATCTGCGCTCTTACTTGGCGCGTCTTCTCAAAGATCCGCCAGCCCTCGTACAACCCGGATCCGGCTTCCTATCCAATCTGGGGCGAGGGTGTAACCATGAGCAAGCGCCTGACCAGCCCCATGATGCCGCCGCGCATGCAGGGAAACCAATTTTTCGCAACATTGTCAACACTTTCCCCGATCCCACAGTTGACCACTGCTGAGATAATTTCGGATGCTCCTCTATCCAAATTAGCAAAGTACACACGCCAAATGACGAATGGGGTGACGGAGGATTTGCTGAAAACGGCCCTGCAGATGCTGGCACCTACTCGGAATAAGGCGGACCTGTCGGTTCGCGTCAACTCTTTCCCACCAATGACTGTAGCCATGACCGATTGGCGAGACGCGGATGTGTGTTCAGCCGACTTTGGCTTTGGAAAGCCCAGTGCCTTTCGACACTTATTAGACACCATGGCCGAGGGATTGGTCGTTGTGTATCCCCCCCATCGTGGACCGGCCGGCGAAGACGAGGGTATCGAGCTACAGTTTGCGTTCGAAAAGGAACTGGTTCAGAAGTTGGTGAACGATCCGGAATGGAAGAAGTATTTCGAGTTCAGAGGTGTTGATGCCGAGGAGACAACCCCACCACATGGCGTCATGGATTTTGCTTCACAGATTTAATGCCGACGAGCTGGTTCGCAATCGTCCACTTGTGGGCAAGCAGACTTCAATATGAACAGTTGAAAGCCAGACGGTAAGTGATTCGTCTATTCTTGAAATTTGGAAGCTTCTCATTAAGAACTGTTGGACGGTCTGGGAACATATCATCAACTAGCGCAAGAGTAGGCTCTATAACGAAAGAGTGTGTATTTATAAATATGATTCAGCGAAAGGTATTGATCCCATCCATAAACGCCAACCGCCCTATCCAGTGCGAATCCCGCACGTATGCCACCGGTTCCCAATGCAAATTCTAGCCAATGCCCCGTCATGCTAATGCCCGCTAAAAACAAGAAAAGCTACAGCCCCAAAAGCACAACCAAACTCCACATTGATAGACATCCCCCCTAAGCGGATTTACTGAGTAGCGCCGAAGATCTCGTTGAGGTCACGCTTGGCATTGCGCTTGATGCCGCACTTGTTCAAGCAGGCGTCGATGCCGAGAGCAATGTTGGCGGGGATGTGCTCACGGAAGCTCTCGAGGTCAGCGCCGTCAATGGTCTGGACACCGCCAAG